CCAGTTGCAGGCTGTTTGCCAGCAGCCTCAAAGCTCCTGACCTGTTATTAAAACAGCCTCAAAGAAAGTAAACATGACCAATGGAAAAACATAAAATATCACCCAAATGTCTAAGGAAACCATGAGCTACATCCAGCACAGATTTTTCAAAAGGACAAGGATTTTCATGGCTCAGTGTTCTAATTTGTTTGACCATTTATTTCCAAGGAACACATCCAAGAGTGACAAGCTCCATTTATTTCAATGGGCAGCATATGCCAGCAACGTGAATGGCGTACGCTATAAAAGAGAATGGATGTTCTCAAGCATCCTAGAAAGCTGTCCTTTCGGCAGACAGAGGACATGTAGGTAATGGAAGCGCAGCTCTGCTCTGACAAGCAACACCATAAAAGCAGCATCCTGGGTTCTCATGTTTGATGTCTCCCCATGGCAGACCTGAGAGATTTGCTCAAGCTGAAAGTGAAAAATTATTACCTAATATCTGGCCCAGCGCTGGAGAGAGCAGTTGGATTCTTTCATTGTTCTACTTTTCCGGGCCAGAAGGACATCTCCTTGGGACATATGGCCACTTCAGGGTATTAGTGCTTCACCCTTTTAGAGGCTATGCACTAACCTAGACTATTCTCACAAATGACATCACCTTCAAATCATTGTCTGATGTGATTATGAGATGTTCACACAAGAAAGTGCCCTCTTTTCATAAAATACCATCACATGGCAGCACTGTTTTCAGTCTTGTCTCTTTGTACTACATCCTGAAGACAATTCTCTTCTGAATCTTTCCTTTCCAAAGTCTGATTCCACTGAAGCCTGAAAAACCATGAGTTGTGAGTCTCTGTCACAAATTCAGTACCACCTATAACTTGATATTGTTTGGTGGCCTGTGACCCTTTACTGTTAGTCTCACAGGAGCGGGCAACTTTTATTTGCTATCATTAATGATTTAACTAATATTAGTTCTGTGTTAGGACTTACCTAGGGAGCAGTCTAGTTCATAAGATTTTATTGGCTTGTCAGCAAGCCCTGGAAGTCAAAATAGAATGATTCCCGTCTTGCTTTTCAGTGAGATGGCCCCAACAAAGGCTTTGTTCATACTCAGTCTTTCTCTGGAAACCTCTCATTCCCATTAAACTTAAGAGGTTCCTGGGAAGGAGCAGCGTGAGCTGCAGTGCTGTCTACAGGAAACCACTTCCCCTTCTCCTGTACCTCCAGCCAGGCAACATCTTAAGCCAGGTAAAGAAGAAGAGATGTTCATGACTCCCTTACAGACCTCCAGCATGGCAAAATGAAATCCTGAATTCTCCTTCAGGAGATTCATGTCCACCTGTACTGCAAGGCTCACTATTCTGGATTTAGTCTGCAGTAAGGCCACAGCCATACAATACCCCTGGATGCCCATTGTACAGACTGGAGACCCTTGTTGTGAGACTGTTTTTCCTATTCACTTTCTCTTCAGCAGGTGCAGCTTGTAGGCTGCAGTTCCATCTTTTATGGGGAAGCCAAATCAATGCTGTTCAAGCCATTGAGGGCATCCTTGAAACCATGTGGGAATCTTAGCTTGCCTTGATGCCAATGAGGTGCTTGCTTAGTGAAGAGGCCAAGCATAGACTTGTGACTGGCTCTGTGTGTATTTGGGGATATAAACCATAAGGTGGCTTTGCATCCATGCAGCTTCCTTTGGGACCATACTGATTGCCAACATGCAGGTCTCCACTTGCTGTGAGCTATTTCCTAGGGAAAAGACAAAAAGAGCTTGAAGGAGAGCTATAGTCATCCTTCCTTTGTCAAAGTGAAACTTTTAGTTTCCATCAAATGCACTTTTGTCCCTGAATTTCTGATTGTATCTGGTGACTTCCATGCCTGGGCCAGTTGGCCCCAAGCACGTTGAGCTCTCAAAACCAGCCTCTTGCTCTAGGTGTGAGTGGTGAGAGACAGGAGAGCTCTCTGCTGGGAGAGTTTGGCCCTGCTTCTGGGCTTTGGGGCTTTATTTGGTCAAAGAAGAGCCAGGCTGTCAGCTCCAGCATTTCTGACTGGCTTTTTAAGGCTATAGATACAGACTACACCCTGTGTCTTGCAGTGGATCTGAGAAGATTTGCAGTATCCCAGCAGAGAGGTTTGGGAAGACACCCCAGGCCTGGCATGCCCAGGGCAAACTGGAATCCTCTAGATTTAACACATCTGGTAGTGGAGCAGTGGGGTAATGGAATCCCAGGGGCAGTAACCGGTGCTTTACAAGGTGTCAAAAATGTCCATCATAACAGAACAGCATTGTGAAGCAACTGTGTGGTCTTTTCCTGAAAATTAAAACTAAAAAGCAAGCCATATGATGACAGCATCTGTAGCAGAGAGCAGGGTGGCTTGCATGAATTAGCAGCTTCCTGGCTGTTATCTGTGGCAGCCTTAGCCAGCTACTTATTCCATCACCTGCAGCTTCTGTGGGCTGAGGCCTCAGACTTACACCTTGGGGAGCACTGCAAGCCAAAGCCCCCAGCACTGAGCCACAGTCAGAAAAGAGCTGGAGAAGGTCTCCTACACAGCTTTTTCACTGAAGTCTGGGAATGGGATCTTGGGTCTTGGAATGTGGAGCAGTGACCTTGAACTGCTCAGATCCTGATCTCCAAAGAGCACCTGTGAAGGTTACCAGTAAGGTGGGCTGACTGGGGATGTGCCACAGCCTCAGTGACTTGCATCTGAATCTTCCTGGCATGTCCACTGCAGGCAAGGATAGCTTAGCCAAGAATCTCCAGAAGCCCTGCAGAGATCATGTTGGATATCCATGCAACCAGTGCCAGTATGTGGGGTCAGAGCAAGTGATAGCCTCCTGCTGCCTTGGAGACTTATTATGGGTAGGAGAAGAGAGATAAGTCCCCAATTTTCCCTGGGAGAAGTGCTCATTAGGATCCGGTTTCAGGCATTTCTTTCCCTAGTGGGTCAGGTGTCATGCAGGAGCGTTATATTCTGTGCAACAGTATCCACCATTAAAAAAAAAAAAATAGACAAAACCCAAAATTACTCAGGTATGTTACTCATTCTTCTTAAGGTCCTGTAAATCACATCAAGTGCAGAACCTCTCCTCTTTCAGAGATCATCCAGTCTGTTGCATATGGATGACCCTCAGGGATCCTGCAAATGTCTTCCTGCCACCTCTCCCCCATGCTTCCTACTGATGGGACCCGGAACCACCTACTGAGCTGCTGGTGAGCAGCAGAATCAGTTCTGCTCTGTCTCACCCACCCCTCCTGCTGTCCCTTTTTGGGGGCTCCAAAGGGAGCCTATTCTCCTGGCATAGAAAAGTCCCCATGGAAGAACATGGTTACACCCAGAAAAGTGGCTATGGCACCCATTTGATGGGATCTGCAGGGAGGGTAATGGGGATCAGAGCAGAGAAGGCACTGCCATCTGGCAGGGGCTGGAGCAGGGTGACAGCAAGAGGAGTCACTTTGGTCACAGGCATCCCCTGACTCAGGCACGAAGGGGACTGGCTCCATCCAGTCTCTTGAGAGCAGGAAAGCCACAGACTCATGGCTGACTCCCTCGCCTCATTGTCTGTGCACTGGAGCAGGGAGGGCAGGAGACAGGGAATGAGGGAGCCTTTCTGTTCCCCTGGCTCTGACAGGTCCATGCCTGCCATGCACTGGGATTGGGGGTGGGTAGGAGACAGGGCAGGGGGACTGCCAAAATAAAAGAACTAAGAAACCAGTCTGATGATTCTCCACAAGCTTGGTATACATGATGCAAATTGATGTTTAAAGCTTATTTATTAGCTTACATGAGAAATGCCAGCGGTGTTTTTCTAGATCACTGGGTATCCAATATTTGGGCGGGGGGAGACAACGGCAGTGGGAGCGAGCATGGCTAGAGACTGTATATCCAGAGGCTAGGGTTTATATCATGGGCTGCTCTCGACTGTTATAATTTGTGGCACAGATTCAGCGAGAATCTGATCTGCTGAAAATATTTGGGCTGTGAAAACTCCCACACTGTGACAGATGTCAAGTCCAATTAAGTGACTCGTGTCCAGGTTTCTGTCCAATAGGCTTTCCCATTAAATACCAATTTAAGAGGGAAAAAATGCCGCCCCCTTTTCTCCGAGCCTTTATCTCTTCCGACCATCTCTAGGCGAAACCCTTTGGTACCAGAAGTGGAGCCACACGCATCTCTGCTCCGTCTGTCTGTCTCGCCCCTGCCACCTTCCGCACCCCTCCTTGGCTTCTTTGCCACTCCGGGAGGGGTGGGAGGAGGAACTGCACTTTCTTTTTATGCATGTGAGCGTACCTTGTCCTGCACCGCCGTTATCTCTCACAGCCGCTCCGAACCCGCGCCGAGATTTTCGTTTATTTCGTTTTGTTTTTCTTTTTCAGCCTTCGCATATTTTCCTTTATTTTTCACTCGAAAGATGCAGGAGGAGTTAGGAAGCTCAGGGACGGATGGGGGTTTCGTTTATCCTTTTTTTTCTCCTTTCGCCAGTTCTTGAAGGACCAGAAGAAGAACTAAACCAAACATTCATTTTCCGACGGCGTCTCCCCCGCTCCTGCCCCTCTCCGCCGGACCGGTGAATTAACAAAACCTCACGTTACAACCCCCCCCCCCCCCCCCCCAGAAAAAAAAAAAAAAAAAAAGCATAGAGAAGAAAGGAGGGAGCGACGCATTGTTACCCCGACCCGCGGCGTGCCTGTGCGCCGGGCCGCGGCGGAACAAAGCCGGCAGCGCCGCGCCGGGCTCCGCGCGGCGGGGCTGCCGCAGGGAAGGAGAGGCTGAGGGGGCGGGAGAGAGGGAATAATCCCGGACGGTGCCGGTGCTGTCGCCGCATCCCTTTTGTTATTTATCGCGGTCGGGGAAGAGGAGGAAGAAAAGCGGGCGAGAGGGCACTTTCCTCCTCTAAAACCGACCGGCCGAAGCCGCCGGTGCGCTGAAGCCGCTGCCCCGGACAAGCGGGCGGAGGAGGACTTTGATGGGGAAACGCTTTTTCTCCCCTGATGCATCGTAAGTAACTTAAGTTGTTATTTATACTCCGCAAACAAACACGACAGTATAACATCTCCCATCTCTGGAGCGCTGGAGGCCGCGGCGAGGGATGAGATCTGCCTTTCCCCATTCGAGCAGGACACTTTTTCGCTCGTAATTAATTTTATTTGATTTTGATTTTTTTTAATTTTTCCATGCTCCGCTCCCGAAGGGTCATTTGAACTGTAAAGGAATCGCCGAGGGGGCGAGGGGACCTGGAGAGAGAGGCTATCCAAACGACTCCACCGAGGTAAGCAGCCTTAACAATCCTTAACAATATATTTCCCTTCTGCAGGTAGCAGGGGGCATGGGTTTACTGTAATAGTAATAATAATAATAATAACAATTTTTTAATAGAGAGGGGGGAGGGGGGAAAGAGCCTCTTTACAGATCAGCTCGCCAAACCCCACCGTACAGATAAATCCAAATCAAAGCGAAAAATTCAACACAAACCGGTAGAGAAACCTCTAAGCAACTTTCTTCAGGAACCACCGCTTTAATTGCCCATTTTTGTACAATCGCCCTGCAAATCCTGCCTCTCTAACGTGCTTTTTGCATAAGCCCCCTCGCTTGGATGCCAGGTGAAAGGTGATTTTAAACCCTTCCTCTGTATCTTTTTGCCCCACGAGATCACTGATACCTGACTTGCGCGCTAATGGGTTTTTTTCCCTACCCCTGCCTTGTGGGCCTGATTAACGCTCCTTATTAAAAATCGAAGAGGAAGCGTTTCCGACGGCCCTGGCAAGAGACGGCCCTTTCCCAGAGAAGGAAGAGCTCTTCTCTCCCACTGCCCAGTCCTGGCTCCCTGCGCACCCCGGGGAGCGCTGAGCCTCGGCCCCCGGCGGAGCCCCTCTGCCCCGCCACGCGTGCCCCGCGTCTCGCCCCGTTGGGGAGAGGCTTGGTTCTATCCCTGCCTGGGGAGAATTCCTCCTGCTCATGTGGTTGTTATCATTATTATTGTTAACAACAGCAATAATAATAGTTTATTTTTCCCAACCGGGTCTGAGGCCCATCTGGGACTTTCCCTGGAAACTTTATGTGGAAATACTTTGCAATCTTAATTTGGGAGAAGGGAGGATGCGATGTTCCCTCCTCCGTCGGGCTCGCTCCCCACCTCGCTCGACACCCCAGCTGCACACATGCACGCACACACACACATACATTTGTGTCCAAGGTTATTCACTAGTTGCCTGATGTATTGTTTTATTACATGCCGGCATGTCCACGGACGCGCTCGGATTTGTATTGCTGTCTACATGACAGATGGTGCTCTGTGAGGCCGCAAGAAGATACGATTCAATTTTCTTTTGAAAGGCACGTCCGCATTTATTTATTTATTTATTTAGCCTCCCCCTCTTTTCGCGCAGGGAGGGGAGAGGAGGGAAAATTTAAAGGGATGGAAAAGTTCGGCCTCTGCTTTGAGGTTTTGTTTCTTTTTGAATCCGACGCTTTGAAAACGGAAACTCTCCAAACATTCCCATTTGATCGCTAGCAAATTGCTATCTGCACGATTAGCAGCAGGAAAGAAATAAAAACAAAAAAAGAAGGAGCACAGAGAAAAGAGCGGAGGGGAGAGCCTAGCAGATACATCGGATCCCGTAGGGATTGGGGAAATAAATCTCCCCACTGGCCTTGTTATATTTATGGAGCCTTGAGCTGTGTATTTAAAAGTATCACGTCTGTAGCCTGGATCCCATAGAGCATTTCCGAAAGAGAAACAGTTAAGCAGAAACTGGCAGGCTAGAAAGGACAATATTAAAACTGGGGGCCTGGACGGGAAGGGGGGCGGGGAATCACCATATTATTGAAACACTGGATATTAGCTTGCTTGAAAAAAAATAAAATCTTCTATTGCTCTCTGGGCCTGTTTCAACACCCAAGGAAGCGCAGGGAATAACGGCAGGAAGGATATTCCACTGAAGCTGCCGTCAAAGGCTAGAGAAGGGATGGTTAAATGACGGGGTATCGTTTATCCCCGATATTGCTCTCATTAGTACTCCCTGAAGGAGCCGCAACTCGTCCACCCGGCTCTCCCCCCGCCCCGGTCGGGCGGTACCGGCGCCGGGGGTAGGGCGCGGGAACCGGCATGTCCCTCGTGTCCCTGCCCGCGTCCCTGCTCCCCGCCTTGCCCCTGTATCCCGGGGCCGGGGCCCTGACCCGCTCTCTCTGCTTCTCTGTCTCGGGAAGGCTCCTCCGCCCCCTCCAAGATGATGCTTAGCCCGGACCAAGCTGCCGACTCCGACCACCCCTCCTCGGCGCCCTCCGACCCGGAGTCCCTGGGCGGCGCGGACGCCCAGGCGCTCAGCTGCTGCGTCTCCGACCCGGAGCCCGCCGAGGGCGGCGGCGGCGAGGGCCGGGGCGGCGGCGGCGGCGGCGGGGAGAGCCGCGGCGGGGGCCGGCCCGGGCTGCACCCGCCGCCGCTGAGCCGGGAGGAGAAGCGCCGGCGGCGCCGCGCCACGGCCAAGTACCGCTCGGCCCACGCCACGCGTGAGCGGATCCGCGTGGAGGCCTTCAACCTGGCCTTCGCCGAGCTGCGCAAGCTGCTGCCCACCCTGCCCCCCGACAAGAAGCTCTCCAAGATCGAGATCCTGCGCCTCGCCATCTGCTACATCTCCTATCTCAACCACGTGCTGGACGTGTAGCGCCCGGCGGACGCCCGGAGCCCCGGGACCCCCAGTCCCGTCGCCCCGGGTCCGGCCGCGGCGGGCAGCGCCTTCCCCGGGGCGGGCGGGGGTCCCCGCTGCTTGTGCTCCCCCCCGGAGGGCTCCCGCCCGGCCGAGAGCCCGCTTTTCGAAGAGAAGCGTAAAACAGGATTGTCTCTTCAGGCTGTCAAGTGCCCCTTTATATATATCCAAAAACATCTACTTGTGACCTTAAACGTGTGACCCATGGGTGCAGTTAAAAATAACTATTTTTTATTTATGGTAGAAGGAGTTGACAATTTATTTTTTTCAAGATTTATTTATTTTTCAGAGTGGTGGCAATTTTACTTTGGATACTTCGTGCCAATTGGTTTCTATAGTCGGGTGTTTACACTTTCTCCTGTGGAATATTATGTTTGACTTTATGAGTGTTTGTTGGGATCAATACAGTGTTCATTTTATTTTCTTTATAATTTATTTTTCCCCTCCAATTATATTGCACTTGTGTACCACAAACCTCCCCTCCCTCCCTGTTTATAAGTATATTTTATATATATCAAGGCATTTGTTCTTGACCTTTTTTCTTTCTTTCCTTGTGTGGGATCAACAACCACTAGCACTTAACTAGGAGAGGTTTTTTTTAAAAACTTGTTGTTATTCTGATCTATAGTTGCGTCTGAAAAGTACTTTGCAAATCGTTTATAAGGGAAGTAGTTTCTTTGTGGGTGTATATGTGCGTGTGTGTACACATGCATGTGTGTGGGAGTGAGCGTGGGTGTGTATGTGTGTGGTATATTTTTAGGAAAGGACATTTTTTCCTAAAAAAAAAAAAAGAAAAAGAAAAAGAAAGAAAAGTAAATCCAGGACTGCTTTCCTTTGTGACAACCAAAAAAATTCTATAACCTGAAAATGTTTCATGTTCTTTGCTGTGAATCTCTTAAAACAAGAAGCGCATTTTAGGGAACAAAAGAGAAAAAGAAAAAAAAAACACATCTGCTATCCAAAGATTTTAGTCTTTTTCAGGGTTTTTTTGTGTGTCTATGTTGCTTTATATAATGCAATATTTTGTAGTGAAAATAGATAAATCTGGTTTCTATCTGATGCGTTTTTCATATCTCTCATGAATGGTGAGCTGTTTTGCATATAAATAAAAGTATCAAATAAAAGCTGTTTTTTCCTAATTATTTTTCCCTGTTGGTCCTTCTGTAAGACAGACATGAAATGTCCTTATGAATAAGGATTACAAAGGCTTCTCAAGTCGTGTGTGGGAAGCTTCAACAGGTTACCTGCCTCTTCCTAGGGAGACTCGGACTGCAGTCCCTCCATCACAGCTCCCCTGCTCCAGCTGCTCTCAGCTGGCTGCCCTGCCCAAATTCAAGGGAGACACAGAACCCTTGCTGTCACTTTCTCCCAGTCTCATCATGACTGGCATCTGGTCACATGTTACAAAGTTCAAGTTGTACAGTCCAATCTGATGCTTGCAAGCACCTGTTTTGCCACCTCACTCCTTGAAATGTCTGGCTTTGCCATTCAAATGTATGTGTTGTGTCCTGCATGAGTTCACTGGGTTTTCTTTCTCTTGTTTAAATTAAGCTTTGATCCCTCTCTGGCCAGGTCTTATTCTACTGAAACTGAGGAAAAATCTTGTGCCCTTTCCCTACTTTAGAAAACCTCAACCATAATCTTTCATACAAGGCTTCAATTGCCAAATCTTGTAATTCGAAATTACCTGAGCAATGTGAGACTGTCTCATTTATTAAACCCTTTCCTCGTTTACCACAAGGGGTTAATTTTACCTATAATTTGAATACTGCCATTGACTGGTGGCTGCATCATCCGTTCTTGCTGGAGAGATAAAACCCTCCCCTCTACCCCATTTTTATGGCTGACACTTTGCACAGCGATTTAATTAAGTGTGGTCTTGACCAGCTGAAAAGCTCCATGCAGAAAACCTGTCAGAGAGACTGTTAATTCCATTTCCTACAAATACGTGCTTGCCATGTCCCAAGGGAGCACACACTGGTTTGGTAGCTCAATGGACAGGTTTCAAATCCTGCATTTCGGGGCTGAAATAACTCCAACTTTGAAGTTGGCTTCCTTTGGGACAGGTATGTTTCTTAGGTTTAATATCAGGGCGCTATGTTGAGTTTGATGTACTTGCCTGAGTGATATTATAAATCCTGCCATCCAAAAAGCCTTAATGCTACCAGCATTTGGGAGGACTTAGTTAATGAAAAGATAAACATATTATTTCCTTCTTGACCACTGGGAATGCATGTTTTAGGGGAAGAGAGTGCTCTGCCACACCTGACTGTAAAGTAAGATGGCTGCAGTCACTGGCAGTTGTAGGTGCCAACCCCACATTCCCCCTGGCCTCATTTCCCCTTCTGGGGGTCTCACACACATGTCAGAGGCACAGAATGACATAATGCTGGAGTCTCAGATTCCCAGCCACGTGATCCTGTGCCCAAGTGATAAGCCAGAAAGGCTGCTGTATTGTGAGCAAAGAAGAGCACAGCATGGAGATGTGGAAGGGCTCAGGAAGTCAGAAAATCTTGTGGGCTATTCCATTCTTACCATCCCTGAAACAACAGAGAGCCTGACTGCACTCAGACACAGTGCAGCAAGGGCTTTGCTTTTGGTGGCATCCAAAGGGTCAGATCTCAAGTTTAACCTGCAGAAGGGCCAGGGCACTTGACCTGAAGAGATGTGCTTTTCTTCCCAGGTTTTATCTGATGAAAGAAATTGCTTTTTCCTACAAGTCCTATCTCACTTCCATACACTCAACACCTTGTTTAAATCCTGTCCCCACCATAACATCACCCCAACTACTTCTATTTTTCCTGCTGGCACCAAGAAGGAAGCTCATTCTCATTTAGCAGTTGATGAGTGTTGGAAACAGAATGTAGGTTTTGCTCCCACATTCCACACTTTTTTTTTATTCTTAAGAAGCTGAGTAGTATGCACAAGCTACAAGGTCCATGCAAAAAACAAGGCTGCATGGCTAAGTGCTCAGAAGTCTGGGTTTATGAAGACCGGGTAAACAAATTTAACTCCATCTCATTGCAAGTCTGCGTTAGATAGCAATAAAGTCTAATTATATAATCAAACTTTGCCTGTGTCTATGTTCCCTCAGCAATAAAGGAATGAATGACCTTGAATGACAATACTGTAGGAGGAATGGGGTTGGAACTGCTGAATGGAAGTTTATATCACACTCAGCCATTGCAACAATTGGAAGGGAAGAGACACAGTTAATATTTCCTGGTATTTTAGCAACATTCAGATACCTTTCTTTCACAACTGAAGAGGAGCTCATCCTACAAACCACAACAGAAAGTGCACTCAAAGACATAGAAGGCAGAGCACTACCTCTGGACCTTTAGCTGACTCTAAAAGAGGGACTTTAGGCCTGAACTGAATACAATATATAAAACATTTAAACCTTATATAAAATATATAAAACATTGAATGGAAACCTCCATTTACAGAGCATTCACAGGGAGGAAGTAGATCTAATAGATAAACCTAGAATATCCCAGTACAAGGGATATCCAATGCATGCTAACATTTCAGGCCTATATGGACTCACAGGGATACAGTGCAATACACGCTCACATGGTATCATTAGGAAGCAGGGCAGCTAACGCATTCATCGGAACCCTGGGAACAGATCCTGACCCTGATAGAGCAAACGAGGACAGACAGCAAGCCAAAAGTAACTCCTCCAAATAAACATAATGGTTTTGACAGGACTGTACAGCTAAGGGGAAACTGTATCTCAGTATCATACAGTTTCCTAAGAGATTAAAAGATCTCGAGCACAAAATATTCCAAAATATAGACTTGAATTTATGCTGCTATTACATATTCACACACAAAAGGAAGAATTTCTAGGCACAGACCATCACTGTCCAGAAAAGTGCATGGTACTGTGCATTCAGGATCACATTACTCCCCAGCCACAAAGTCGTGTCTTAGTGTTTGTGTTAAAAAGTGTTTGAGCCAGGTAGGATATGACCTCTGATACTTAACAGCAGATAAATTCTGAGGGTCTTGGATGTGATTTGATATCTTTGCTGTATTTCTAGCAAAGGGAATGTGTGTGTGATTGGGAAGAGATGGGGGGTGGGGAGCTGAAGATGATGTTGTATATGAAACTCAACAAAGAAATGGATCTTTTCCATTATATAGCTGTGAAGAAATAGCAGAGACATTCTATCTATCTCTTCACATATCTATCCATCTAGCCATCCTGTAACCCAATTAACCCAGTTCTTTTAGGGTGAATAAATGTGTTCTAATATCAGCCATTATTTTTCAGTACTCTCAGTTTATTCTCCAGGGTGGGACAGATCAATAACCACACTAGCAACCGACCCAAAAGGAAAAGGCAATCTCCTGGCGCTTCTTATTTATTTCTTCAGAGCCGATTTCGTTTTTCCTGCCTCTTCCCCTGGTGACGGATTTTGTCTTTCCTGCCCAGAATGGCCGTGTTGTTTTATCCTGAGCTCTATTTGCATGTGAGCTTCAGATTCATCTTTGGCTCCTTGCACGGTTTGGGATGAGACCCTCCTGTCCCCAGAGAGGGGGGCAGGTGTTGCTCCAGTCGAGCGAATGGAACCAAATTACAGGACCGTCTGTCGCCTCCTCTGGGAGCCGGCAGAGGGAGGGGAGGAAGGGGAGGGGAGCGGGATGCCGTACGACAGAAAAGAAAAGCAGAACATCATACTGATGCCGATAAGAGCTTGAAAACACGAGTCACCCCAGCCCACAGCCCCACCCAAAACCATGCAGCAGCCACCTGAAAGAGAAATGTCAGGAGCAGAGACAGAAATAAATTGAGTCACTGGGCTGGAATAACTCGGGCTCAAAATGAAAGAGAACTCAGACCCTGTCCACTTTCAGACACAAGTGCAGGCACAAAGTTGCTGTTTTTCTCAGCTTACGGCTGTGCTCTTTGATGTCACCTCCTCTGCCCTTTCAGTGCAGGCTCCTCTGCCCACCACTGCTCTCCACCAAGTCCTCACAGCCCAGGTCTCACAGCAGCTCCTGCACCCCTCCCTCCAGCTGCTCCTTCTGGCCTTCCCATATCCACCCTGCCCTTCAGGGTCCCTGAGAGAGGCACAACTGCAGAGAGGTTCTGCTCCTCTGCCACCCCACCAGCCCATGCCCTAAGTGGAGCCAGGGAGCTCTCACAGGGAGCTGCTTGGTGCTCCAGCTCAGGGCTGGTGTCTCACTTTTCATCCACGCAGACTTCTACTCAACTGATCTGAGAGAGGTGATGTTACAGACTTACACTTCTCAAACCCACTTGTTTGCTTAAGGCATTCCTAGCAAATTAATAAAAGACCCCCATCTACCCCACTCCACCCCCCAGCTTGTTTTTGCTGTTTTCTTGGTCCCAAACTTTCCTAGATATGAGTGCACACACACACTGATGTATTCAATGATTGCTATTGGAGTGGCTGGGCACAGAGTCACTTGAAAAGCAACAGGTGACAGTTGTTCTGCTGTTCCTCACTAAAACAAGAAGAAGATCAGAGAAGAAATTTGTGGAGAATTCAGAGGAGATTCAGAAGAAGGCATGAAAAAACGTGCCATTAGGAGTGCTTAAATCA